TGCCAATTCCAATCATGTTCCTATAATGGCAAAGAATACAAATATGTGACAAGAAACTAAATTTCCTTTAGGGGAAAAACAACCAAATCGTTCAAAGCCAACCAGCTTAAACCTATCATCAGAACATATTTGTTACTCAGCAACACTGTATCATCACTACACGAAAAGAAGTGGGTCTTTATCAAAAGTTTCAGTAGCATGGCTATTCTACATCTACTAGATACAATCAAACCACAGATAGATTCTTATTTGGAAACAGAGGGTAATATTCATGTCTAGACTTACAACAAATTGCATCTTTAAGATTCCTGGGCCACAGAGTAAGATGCTCACTTTATTTAGACACAAATGGAGACGCTGGGGCCATTAGCTACGCAGCAGACAGTCTTGTCGGAACAAGGATCTCCCTCCATTTTCTTCCTGCGTGCCATGAAGCACAGCAGCAAAGCTACTGCCCGGAGTCCCACCCACCATTTCCCTGAGCGTGGTTTCCAAGGCCCTGTCTCAGCTGTGACTTTATTTATCCCATGTTCCCGGCCCACGGTTCCTACCTACCAGCCCAGATCTCAGTCTGCTACAGGTAAGCACCATGGCTTATCCTCTTCTCCCAAACCCCTCCCCTGGCCCACGTTTCACACATCTGGCAACACAGTCAACAACCCCAGCCACACAGGCTCCAAACTCTGGCATCCATTTGGACTCCTTCTCTTTCCTCTTGTTTTTCAGACATTATCAGTAGCCAAGCCAGTCAATTCTTCTTAGCAATAATCCACATATGCCCTCCTCCCTCCATTCCTTCCATGACCTTCAATTAGGTCTTCCTTCCCTTTCATCTGCAATGCAACAATCCTTGTCTCTCCAATCTCTGTATTCAAATTTTCCTGTGTCCCGCCTCTAAGAGTGAACAGCCAGTCTTCTCAAATTTGTGATCTGCAACCTAGCAGGGCACCTGGCACATTGTGAACACTCAATTATTACTTGAACGAGCCAATCCCCCTGTTCTGTGAGAGTTGATGACACCTTCTCCATGTCTCTTATCAATGCTGTTCAGAATTACTGATGGATATGAATAGGCCCCGATTCCTTATTTGTACTCCTCCAAGCAAAACGTGTTTCAGAATTCAGAATCTTCCAGATTTCAGGAAGGAAATACAGTGCATAAAACATGTATCATCTATTATGGAAAAGCTGCAACACTGTAACACTCTATACACAGATACACGATTTCTGTACTCAACTCATTCACACCGGGTGAGATGCGGACAATTATTTGCATCATATGAGTTCCAGTCAGGTTCTGGCATCAGTGAGTTGGAAGGAAAAAGACCTTTCCAGTTTTAGACTTTGTGGTCTCTGGAATGACGGACAGAAGAAGCTGTGTTTTAATTTTCAGGTAAAGCCTCTGATTCTTTATCATCCTCTATGCCTTCCTGTCATCTTTCATTTCCTCTGAATTTTTCCTGTTGCTTAGAACAACAGAATGGGATCCAAAGGGTTTAGCAGAACAACTTTTGGCTGGCTTTAGAAATTAACAGCCATGGGGGCGCCTGGGTGGCTCAGTCGGTTGAGCTTCCAACTACAGCTCAGGTCATGATCTCACATAGTCCATGAGTTCGAGCCCCGCATGGGGCTCTGTGCTGACAGCTCAGAGCCTGGAGCCTGCTTCAGATTCTATGTCTGTCTGTCTGTCTGTCTCTCTCTCTCTCTCTGCCCCTCCCCCCCACTCACACTCTCTCTCTCAAAATAAATAAAGATATAAAAAAAAAGATTTTTTTAAAAAGAAATTAACAGTCATAGATGTTATAAGCTATATTGCTTACTTATAAAAGGTTTCAGTGGGATCACCCTGTTCCTGATTATTTCACTCATACTAACTAGAAAATATCCACACAACATGTTATCATTTTAAAAGACAGAAGGTACCAATTTCAGAACTTTAAAAAAAAAAAAAAAAAAGCAGGTGTGTGATTCATCTAAGACTATATACTCTACATGGCTTTTAGCACTTAGTCAACATACGTGGAAAGAGGCTACTGTGTTACAGGTTGTACTAGAAGCAAGAAATCAAAAATTAATCTGTAGCCCTTTCTCAGGCTTACCCCCAAGGTCAGATGGGAGGAGACACCTAATTATGAACGATCATAACCCAGTAAGATAACTGTGACAAATAAAAGACTGTTCAAAGGAAATTTAGAGATTTCTTTCTCCCGCTAATGTCCATCTACACCCCTGCAACAGAATCCAAGAATCCCTATAAAAGTAAAAAGCCAAAGGAGAACCTTTATTCAAAAGGGTAAAATACCCGAAGGAACAGAACATGAGAACATGGCAAGGCTTTCAACTACATTTTAGAGCCACAAAAAGACACAAATAACAAGATCATTATGTCCTTGATATCATTATATGGTTACATGTTATAAATACTATTTTATACACTATTATATGGTAATGATATGATATATAACATTATTCATTATTAACAGTGAAATAAGAAAAACAGGCTTCTCAATTTCTATCTACATAAAGCACTATGTACGGATTGTAACATTTTTAGTAATATAAAACAATGCTCTGTAATCAAACCATTGTCTCCAGAAGCAGAAATAAGAAGGTCCTAGTGAGCCTCCTCCCCAAAGTTCCTCATCAAGGCCCTGCTTCCGGCTCTTTATGCAGATCCAGCGTCCTCATCCCACATCTCTCTGTTCCGTGTTCTTGGCCCACAAGAAAGGAACGGACGAGCTCTCCAGCCTCTCTGAGGCCATCTCTGCCCAGCGAGGCAGAGGCCACACCGGCCCTCCTGCTCCTGGGTGACGACGCACAACAGGCTTCACGGGGCCTCACCTCAAAGACGCAGATATGGCTCCTCTGCAGCCGAAACCAACCCTGACCCAAGGGCCAACACGAGAACGCAGCTAATTCTCCCGAGATTCAGACAAATTTGGTTTTAAAAGACTCTTACTCTCCCCACCTCCAACCACACATGACTGGGTGATGTCGGGAGTGGCATCGGGATAGCAGGAGGGGG